CTGGGAAGAGTTAAATACTGTCTTTATTCATAATTGCCTAAACTTGGAAGCTGCCCTCAAAGGTTAATGGAAAGAATAATTGCCGAGACCGGTTTGGCTCAGTGGATAGAGCATCGGCCTGCGGACTGAAAGGTCCCAGGTTCGATTCCGGTCAAGGGCATGTACCTGGGTTGCGGGCACATCCCCAATAGGAGATGTGCAGAGGGCAGCTGATCGATGTTTCTCTCTCACCGATGTTTCTAACTGTCTCTATCTCTCTCCCTTCCTCTCTGTAAAAAAATCAATAAAATATATTTAAAAAAAAAAAAAAGAATAATGGACCAGGAGTCAAGAAACTGAGTTCCCCCTCTGGCTCTAACTAGCTGAGAAAACTTGGACAACTCACCTCCCTTCTTCATTTACGCAGCGTCAGACCGGACTCCTTGGAGTCTAAGATTCTTTCCAGCGAGGTATACAAGATACAGGATACTTCGTGGCCAGGCAGACCTGAGTTTATATCTTGGCTCTACCTCTTACTAATTGCATGCTCTTCTGCAAGTCCTAGAACCTGTGCATACCTCTGTGAAAGGTGAATATCAATGCAGTGTTCTTGGGAGGATTAGTAACCAGGAGTGGAGAACACCTGGAGGGCATGATTATTAAACGGTGCTGCCTCTGAGTCTACGTCTGGCTCAAGTTCTGCTGAGCATTAGATATCTTCAGTGAATGGGCAGGGTCTGCTGGGAACTCAAGTGTAGTTGTGCAATTCAGATGTCAGCAAAGCCTTGCCTTCGAGCATTTCCTACCCTAGGACGGAAGTCTAGGTGAAGACCTTGCCATATCTCATGCAGGTACACACCAGGTCGGACTCATGCCCTGCCTGAGTGCCCCGGCAGGGCCAGCTCCTGCCCCTGCGTGCTCCTCCAGGAGGCCCGCGGGCTTGCAGAGTCATGATGGGCTGATAGCTTCCTCAGAGGTTGAACCCACCGAAAGCACTGGTACTGACAGAGCCACAAAACCACCCCTCAGCCTTTCCCATTTTATTCACTGTGCTATTACCGTGAAGAAATACTGTGCGTCACTGTGTTTCTACATAGTAAGTGTTGTTACGGTGATAGCCATCATATCCCAAATTGGCTCACTGCTTCCTGCGAAGGCTAGGGCAGGAATTACTGCTCCCAGCCTAGTCTCCCGCTGTCTGAAGCCCTGAAGGGTCAGGTAACCTACCAGGAAACACAGTGAGTGGATGGCAGTACTGAGTCTCCTGGTCCCTTGTCACCTCTTGGCATGATGCTAGTTTTCTATTCTGCTATAACAAATTACCATAAATTTAGTGACTTAAAACAACAAGATAAACGATGAGATGACGCTGATAACACCAAATGCTGGTGAGGACATGGAGCAATAGAAACTTTCACTCACTGCTGGTAGGAATGCAAAATGGAACAGCCACTTCGGAAAACCAAATGTACTCTTACCGTTCAGTCTAGCCATTGCGCTTCTTGGTGTTTATCCACAGGAGTTGGAAACTTATGCCCACACGTTTCCCTGCCCACACGTGTTTATTCCTAATTGCCTAAACTTGGAAGCAACCAAGATGTCCGTCAGTAGGTGAATGGATAAGTAAACTGTGGTACATCTAGTCCATGTATTCAGCACTAGAAAGAAGTTATTAAGCCAACATCACTTATTTTTTTAAAAATATATTTTTATTGATTTCAGAGAGGAAGCGAAAGGGAGAGAGAGACAGAAACATCAAAGATGAGAGAGAATCATCGATTGGCTGCCTCCTGCACGGCCCCCACTGGGTATCAAGCCTGCAATCCGGGCATGTACCCTTGACTGGAATCAACTCTGGGACCTTTCAGTCCACAGGCTGATGCTCTATCCACTGAGCCAAACCGGCTAGGGTGCCAGCATCACTTATCGAAGAGACTATTTTTACTGCATTGCATATTCCTGCCTCCTTTGTTGTAGATTAACTGACCTATAAGTAAGGATTTGTTTCTAGGCTCTCTATTCTATTTTACTGATTTATACATCTAGGATCAACAAAGGAAAAAGAATCCTTGAATACTGACTTTATAATGCAGAGCAGTGTAGCACCTATTGGCTTCAACCTGGCTTCAGGGCCCCCTAAATTTGCTTAACTAAAGGATCTGTTAAAATGCTTTCCAAAACAAAAGGTAGATTCTTTCCCACAATGAGTTCTGCTCCCACTCTTGGAATGTGGAAATGTCGAGCTATGGAAGTCTCCCATTGGCTGAGCTGTACTGGGCAAGGAGAAATTTTTCTTCCTCCTGCTGAGGTAGTATCACTCCCTGCCAGAGATGCAAGGTCCGTCTCCTCCTGGTGGGGTTGGTAGTCTGCGTTGAGCAGTACAAGGGTTCTCTCCTCGAGCCTCCTGACTCCATTTTAAATGAGGTTTCTGTTCATTAATTTTCAAACTGGATTTTCAGTGCTCCTCAAAATCTCATACTCCTTCCCTTTAGTTAGCCTGGAATTGGCATCTGTCCTCCCTACTCCCACTCCCAGTAGGAGCAGGCTGGGCAGAGCTGGGAGGCCTTTTCAGGGTTCAGGCACACGGGCCCCCAGGGCAGGAGACCCAGCACCGGCCTCTGCCTTGCAGTGGCTGGCTCAGTGCAGCAGGAGGGTGCTGGCCTAGCCTGGGCTGGGCTGGAAGGAGCTTAGCCCAGGAAGCTGGGATATGATACCAGAGAGGCAGACCATGGTGGCCGGGAAAGAGAGGAGGGGTGAGTGGAGCTGAGTTCATGGTGCTTTGGATGCAGGGGCCCTCAGGGAATGTCTGATGAAATGGACTGATGAAAGGGACCAGGCCTCACATATTTAGGAAATGATGGAAAACCTGGGGCTGGAAAACGTGGATACTGGTTTCCAAGTTTAAAGACGGCCTTGTATATGACAATTCTGCTTCCTTGGGACTTCTACGCAGGGCAGCATTTTGGAGGGTTTTACCATTTTACACATATGGCTTTGTGTCTGTAGGGAACGCTATTGGTGTTTCTAAACACGGACCATTCTGGAGAATCTGGGGAAGAAGAGCATTATCAGTGGGTTGCAGGGCTGCCCCGGTCTCTAAGGGGACCCCTAAGCTCAGAGCAAGGCTCGTGAGGGCAGAACCTCGATGGGGAGAATGGCCTCTGTATTTTCTGGATCCAGCCCAGAGTTCCAGCACTGTGCCTTCTCCCAACACCAACCATGGCCCTCTGCCCGCACGCTGGTGGTGGGGGGTTGATTATCCGTACTTTCTCCAGCCTGAGGCACCATCAACTGTAAGCTGCACCATTATTTTATGTAAGCAAGGGGGAAAAATGCCAAAGAAGCAGACTACACATTGATGCTGGGACACCAGAGAGAAATCTTCCCAAAGAAGAGACTGGCCGGAAATGTGCATGTCTCACCCTTGGCGCTCTGTGGAGGGAGGAAAAACAGTCCTCCCCTGGGAATCTGAACCACAGACCTGCCCTCATGCAGAGATCTGAGGTCAGAATTCACACTGTCCATATGGTCTAGAGAAGTCAAACCGGAAATGTACTTAAAGTGGTCTAGTTGCTAGTGCCCCAGAAGTGACCAGCAAGCATGCATCCTCTCCAGAGAACTCGGCGTCAACCCCAGCCTTTGGAGGATACCACCCATTTAAAACACAGTCTGATTTCAGTGATGTTAAATGGAAAGAAATGTGTTCCTCAGAATGAGTGAGATGTGGGCATGAAATAGATGTGCTGTTGGCTGTACTGGTGATCAGCTCACCTGGGTTTGCCTGGAACTTCCCTGGGTTTAGCCCTAAAAGGCACACTTCTAATGAAATCTCTCAGTCCTGGCCCAGCCCTCTTCTGGGGTCCTTCTCTCTGGCCTGAGGGGGCCTTGTTTTATACTATAGATTCCTGCCTAGGGATAGGCTGATTGCACCAGTCTGTGGACACCTGACCCAGGGGCTTTCTGCCCATAGGCCAGCCAGCATCTATTCTAGGACTTAAGGCCTCACTTGGGAAAATAAGAGAATTTGGAAATTTGAACTTGGGAATCTGCAGAACTGAGGACATGCTCTAGGAACACTAGGCCTGGCCTGGCTTTTCAGGTTCTCTTGGGTTCATGTGCATTGAAAGAATTTAAATAAACACTCCTTTTTATTTATTTACATTTTGGGGAGGTGGAGAAGTCAACTTCAATACTTCTTGGGCCCTTCTGGCTAAAAGGCCCCTGGCTGAGGCAGGCAGACTGTCCTGCAAGGCACTGTAGAGGCAACAAGCCCATCCTAGGTGCTGCCAAAAGGAGATCAGTAAGGCCTGTCAGCTGGTCTGTGTGCCCAAGAGCAAGAGCTCCCAGGCTCTGCACATACATGAAGCAGAAGTAACGTGTAATTAGCAGAATGACATAAATTATTCCCTAACCTAAGGCCTAGAAAATAGTTTAACAACCTCAGTTTTATCTGTGTACTCAATAAATGTACTTGGAGTTGTGTGTGTTTCCAATCTCCTTTTCATTGGTTCCTTTTTTTCCTCCCCTCCTCCCACACCAATAAACTTCTTGAGGGAGGAACTACATCTTCTTTCTCATTCTCCTGCAAGGGACGGGGAGCCGGTCTCTGTGTGTGGTGCCCACTGAGCATGATCATGGCACCCCATACATTCTTAATGAGCGAGTGTTAAACTGAGATGAGTGTAGACTCAACAATAAATGCCTGAGCTGTGGATGGAGTTCTTCATCTATTCAACCGGTGCTTAATGAACTCCTATTATATGACATCAGTTGGCTCAAATTAAACTCTTATAAAAATTTTGGATGTTCTCTACGTAGACGACGGGGGTGGGGGGGGTCCTGGCAGGGATTTGTGATCTCTGGGATTCGTGGAGAGCTTTATAGAAACCGTGAGGCTCGAGGCTTCTCTATGAGGACTCTACTCCTACACGCGGAAGCCTGAGGCAGCTTGTGGGATCACACGTCTTTACAGGTGAAAGGACTCCAAGCCATGACCGGTTCTATCTTTAATTTACAGCTGTGCTGCCAAAGCCCAAGGGGTGCCTGGTCTAAGATCACCCAGAATGTGGCCAGGACTCAGCCTTTGCCTGTGGGGCCCTCCAGCCCTCCTCACTATGGAGCATCCTCAGTGCATACCTGGGACACAGAAGCAAAGGCCCGCACCGGCCTTCACCCACCGAGCCAAGCAGCTGGACTGTCACACTGATGGGCACAAAAGCAGGTATCTGGCGAATCCAAAAACCAACACCTCATGTTTACCCAGGAGTCTGTGCTTCTAAGGTGATCATACAAACTAAATCATGTGAGTTGTGGGGTGAAGGAGCACTGGCCTTGGGGTGGGAGAGCTTGGGCCTGAGGCCCAGCTCTACTCTTCTGAGCAGTGTGATCTACGACATATCACCTCTCTTCTCTGACCCTTAGTTTTTTCCAGCTGTAAAATGAATCCTGCTCTCAACCTGTGTGTGTAGAATACCATGTAAGACATCTGGCACACGGCAG